TCCGTTGTGCTTCCCAGATGAAGTCACATGGAAGTTGGATGAAGGCCAAAAAGTCTAACTTTGTTACTTGGACTTTATAAAGGCTTTCAACTCGGTTAGCCACCGATTACGTCTTAAAAAACTCGATAACGTCGGTCTTCCTGGTACTTTTATTAAATGGATAGGGGTGTTTCTGAACAGGCGAACCTTCAGGGTTTGGGTAATAGAGGCACCATCGACGGAGGGGAAAGTCACCGGTGGGGTGCCACAGGGCTCCGTCCTAGGCCGTATGCTTTTCCTGCCGCACGCCNNNGAGGTTTATCCATCCCGACTTTCTTGCTTGCTGATGATGTAAAGTTAGTTAACTCAGGCCCGCTAGAGCAACTACAGGAAGACCTAACAAAGGTTATCTGTCGGACTCATATGTGGGACCTAGACCTAAACCCGTCAGTTTCACATATTGAACACTAACGGCAGTCCAATTAGAATAAACACGGAGCCGGAAACCATCAAACTAACGCGCGTAGTCTAACCGAAGGACCTGGGGATAGTAGTCACTGAAAATTACAAGCGAGGTTAACAGCGCAAAGCTGCGGCACAAAGGGCGACAGGTCAGCTATTCCAGTTGAGAAATACACTGCTCACTCGAAAGGCAGTAGTCTTTATCCTGCTGTATAAGGCACCGTTGAGACCCCACCTTGAATACTGCGCTTAGGCCTGACCAGTCTACCTTCAGAAATAAATCCAGTGCATTGAGAAGGTTCAAAGGTTAGCCACTCGGCTGGTTTTGGGCATGAGGGGCAATCAATATTAAGAAAGGCTTAAAACTTTAGTCCGTTTTCTATGGAAAAGAGACCCCTTTGGGTTGATCTCATAGAAATATTTAGGATAATGAAATGATTCAGTGCTCTAAGCGCCAAATTTTGTTCACTCGAACACAGGTAGGGATCATCAGGGGACATAGTCTAGAGCTCTTAAAACCAAAGGCACGTCTTGATGTGCGGTTTAACTTCTACACGAACCTAGTGGTTGATAAGTGGAATCACCTACCACCACACTTGATGGAATGTGCGACTATAGTCGACTTCAAGAGGCAGTTAGACATGGTTTGGACCCAACTATACCCGAAGGTAGTATAGCAGCGGGGTCTGAAGTTGTTTAGAGTTCATATACTTCTTGTTTCCCAACTAATTTCCCTTAAAGATATCGTACTGTAACCAGTTTCCTGCCGTAAAACAGTTGCCAGAGAGCGACTGAAACGAGTTTGCAGCTTTGGGAGAATAAAACTTCCTACCGAAGAAAGAATCTGAATGCTTGGTGGGCGAACACCTTTTCCGTCCTGTGATACCTGACGTAAAATGACGGTACGTTAGCGCCTGGTTTGATTTTCAAGGTGCTCGTGATCGAAAGTGTATTTTACTCAGCTAGTTGTAAAATATCAATAGATATTTCAAACTATATATATATGGTGAAATATTCAGTTTTACTATTCGTGTGCCACACTTTCAAAGCGTAATATAGTTAAGAGTAAAATATCAGTGGACATTTCATTCCTGCTATTAGGCTTTTTCTTAGTCCTTCCATCGTACAGTCCACCCAACTGGTCGACCAGTTTTACCGTTTGGGAATTTTCGGTCCCGTTTTAACGTGGACTTGAGTCATTTTTGTTGAGCAATTTTCCCACTTGTGCTTTTGCAATTTGAGGTCCATTTTCTTTATATTGCTTTTCCCAGACGATATGTGACCCGAAATCATTGTTAATAGAACAGTCATGGTTCAGCATTTAGACATGTTCATCGGCAACCTAATCGACACGGAGCACTTGAGCTCCATATTCGGCTAATAAGCATTTGGGTTTATTAGCCCTCAAGCTATTCCAACTTGATTGACGGATTCACAAATATTCCTGATGTCATGCACAATACTGACTTGCGAAATCCGCATATGAAGCGTCACTGAGTCGAAAAGTTTTCTGATCTTTCAGATTGAATCACCATGAAGCAATAACTAAACCCAAACCCTGAAGAAACCATTTTTTTCTTTAGTCAGACGTTTGCTCACGAATCACGATTATCGATCATTAATTCTTGTGTTATGTTTTATGCTTCATCTTAAACTTGCTATTACACTTACCGTCACGGATTGGGAGCTACGCCGTCGGGCAGCAGGCTAGCTGTACAGGTTGGGGGCTCACTGTTGGCTAACTTATTTGCCACGAGTGTATACACTGTAGCCTTAGACATTAGGTCGTCATCAATCCCGGTAAACATGGATGCATGACCAGGTTAATTGCGATATCAGTCTCGAAAAGAGATGGAGAACATCGTGCCTCATCGACATCCAAAAGGCATTTAGCTACGATCAACATCACAGTTGTAATCGCCATTGATTACTATCAACGACTGCATGTTGTGGTCACCAGCGGCGTGACTAGCTTTCCACAAAATGTCAAAGGAAAAGAAAACCCCGTGTTTCCCAAAACCCAGCTTCGTCGATAGATATGCTTGATCGATTTCATATCACGATAAATTTTCTGATTGAAATCGTCCACGGCTGACGAGCGATACTGCCCAGATTCCTCTACACCCCGGCCAGTTGGGANTGGGACATTCTAACGACTTTGGTGGATTCTTACTCCAACCGACGTATTCTCATCCGGTCTCAGTTCCCTTCGTCAGGCTTGATGGTCTAACCATGTAACTTTATCAGACGGGTGCTTCAACTAGCAACTACCCCATCAGCTTCTACAAATGAATGATGTAAGGTGGTAATCAAAAGCAGTTATTCAAATATCAATTGGAAACATTTCGTTTCAAATTTATGCAGAAAATGACAACAAATCGCTGCGCGATTGGCGGGCCGTGTGAGGGTTTTCGGAAGCTTTTGTACACAAGACTTTTCTAATCCCATTATCTTCCTTCACTTATCTTTTCTTTGTCTTTTATGAACTCCACATTCGACATTTGTTCAAACCGGCCTCCTCATTACCCGCTCGGTATCTTTGAGGTCTCGCTCCGTGGTTCGCTCATTTGTTTGTCGTTCTGTAACCGGGAACTACGACGGTTTCGTAAGTCACAAATATGTATTGATGTATGCCTATAATAGAAACGAAAGTTCAACTGTCGTTCAACTGTTTTTTCTGCGTGCTGGAAATTTGGTCAGTCGTATTCGAGAGATTGCGATTCGTATTGAACGTTGTTCGGATTGCCGTAACAGTGGTAAACAGTTCAATCGATGTGGTTTGCGGTACCATGAAAAATGCTCCAAGATGTCGGAGCAGTGCTATGCGTTGCATCTTCAACATGGAGAATTAAATGAGGGTATGTGCGCACTGCGAGGCTCCGGTAGAGGAGTGCTTGTGCATTCTTAAAGGAGCTTTGATGAAGGCCGTGACTACAAAGTCACCGCAAACCTCAAATACTCATTCGCGGAGACCAGCAATAAAACAAGTGCAGTCAGTGAGATCAAACGTTAAATGTAGTATGAAGGAAAATAATGGAAAAGAGAAGGTCACGAGCACCAACGGAAAGAAGCCACGTAAAGGAGCTACGGTTAAACCGTTACAGTCGATAGGAGTGACTGCTTGTATACAATAGTTAGAGAAAGATCGCTGAGAACCGCAACGCAGCAGTCAACTGCTATTGGCTCAAAAGAGAAACATCTTGCTGCATAACTTTGCGGAGTCAACGATTCGCGATGCTAAAGCGCGACGACGGACGGATCGCAAACGTGTTCAGGATGTTTTCCGATTGGTGGGTAAGCCGCACAACACGCCCAATATTAGGTGCCACAGGGTTGGGTTGTGGAGGCAAAACCAGACAGCCAGACCTAGACCTATACTATTCGTATTTCACAGTGCATACAGCCGGGACATTCTGCTTTCTAGAGCTGTTGCAGTGGAAATGAACATTAAAGGGTGCATCAAAGTTACCCCTGATACAGGTCATCACGCCCAACGGGGAGTGATATCCATTGTTCCTGCAACAGGATTAATGCAATAAAAGAAGCCCAGAGTTATTCTGAGTAAACTGAATACCCATGTGGCACACGGAGTAGGAGTGGTTGGGGCGTGCCAAAGCAAGGTGATTCAAAATGTCTACCAGCTGGATCAATGTTGAGCAAGTCTACGCCCCTGAAACCCTAACCAGAGAGGCCAAAAGGTGATAACAAAAAGGATAAAAACCGTGGCAGTCCCGATCTGGAGTCCCTGGGAAGAAAACAGATAACAGAAGAGCCGAGGGCCCACCGATGATCATTCTGTCGGAGTCATCCAAGGCTGAGGGAGCGAAAATGATGGTTGAATCTAAGATCTCTAATACCAAGGGGAAATGAACGTCCGTTAGTTGGGTCACAGTGGTAGCTAGGAATATCCAGGACTCTCCTTCTCTGAATAGGACACTATCTCTGCTTCGAATGCAACGAGCGCCAGCGAAAAGACTCGGTGAGGAATTTAGGTTAACCCTAAAACAGATAACGCGGTCTGGGGGGTATAGCCTGGTCATTCAAGGAGTTTGATCGCCCAGTACCCGCAAATATGGTACCAAAGTACGTAATAGCTCCTAAGGCCTTACTTCCGAGGATTCACCTCAAGAAATAGGGAACAGCTATATGAAGGTGGAGGTGGACACCGTCACAGTGTGGTAAACCAAAGCCTGCAGTATTAGGGGAAAACGGGGAGAGTTTGCGACGCGCGCCCAAAACTCGAGGATAATAGCTATCACTGAAACTTGGATGCGGCATGAGCAGGATGTAGAAACGCCCGGAGACTATTCGGCTTATAGACAAGATTGAGTAGATAGTAGACAAGGCGGAGGAGTACTCCTCCTGGTCAAAGCCGCGTATACTCAAAGAGACTCACCAGTAAAACTGGCGACACTTAATATTAAAGCCAAAGCGTGTAGTATCCTCTTGGGAAGACTACCGGTAAGATTGTTACTAGTCTNTAGTCTATTGCGCACCTCAGGCGGAGCCCACAGAAGGTATGGAATTACTTGATACAATGCAGGAATTCCTATCGAGGATCCGAAGTATCTTAACTCTGGGCGACATCAATATTCCGGAGATCTGCTGGGTAGAGGGAAATGATCCCGTTGTGGCAAAGGAAGAAAACTTTGTTACGTGGCTACACGAGCGAGCGCTCATTCAGCACTTTATGCAGGTCACAAGGTTTCGCAATCAACAGAGGGCCTCCGTCCTGGACTGAGTTGTGACGCGGTATTTATCGGACATAAGTGAGGTAGCAGTTGAGACTCCACTAGGCAAGAGTAATCATGGGCTACTAAGGTTAGTACTTCCAATGAAACAAAGCAAACATCTTGCCCCACTTAGACGGCTCTATAACCGAATAAACTTTCCTGCCCTACAAGAGGCCGCAGAGCACTTAGATTGGGTACCACTAGCTCCGGAGCCAACGTTGGAAGAACGATGGTCTGCCATTAAGGTAGGGCTGCCTAGATTGACCGATAGGTTTGCACCCCTCAAACCTAGGAGCAATAGACAACGACCAGCTTGGTGGAAGCCACAGATAGTTCGAGCACTAGTAGTTCGGAGGAGATGCTGGGCCCACTGTTAGGCCTACCGGACTGCCGATGCATAGTCGATCCACAAGAAGGCACGTAACAGAGCACAATCTTTTCAAAGGGAGACGAAATAATAACATGAGAAAAGTTAGCGTAAACTTAAGGCATGACCCGAAAAGTTTTTATGCTTACATGCAAGCGAACAAGAACACTAAGGAGGAAGTAGGTACACTGGAGGTAACTGAAGGCGTAATGCCTACCAACGACCAGGAAAAGGCAAATGCACTTCTTACGTTTTTCAAGACAATTTATCGGCCACCAACGGCAGAACGGACTGTGGACTGCAGCCTGGCTAGAACAAGAGAGCAATTCACAGAATTCAAGCTCAAAGAAAATGACGTGGTCCAAGAGCTCAACGCCTTAAATAGGCATAAAGCAATATACCAGGATGGATTGCAATCCGCCGTGATTCAACCTCTAACAAATGCATTAGCGGACCGGTGACTAAGTTATTTAAGGGGTCCATCGGTACTTGCAGGCTCTCAGAGGATAGAAAAACTGCAACCGTACTGTCCATCCACAAGTCAGGCCCTAGACTCAAGGTTTGCAAATATAGGCCGGTAATTTTGACCTCGATCTTCTGCAAGTGTTTCGTGGGGATAGTCAGGAAACAGATATGCTTTTATCTGATGGCGCATAGGCTTCTAATTCAAGCCCAATATGGGTTCATTGGGAAACACTCTTGTCTAGCCAAACTGCTGGCATTTCTAGAGGAAGTGACAAAAAGAATAGACGCAGGTCACCAGATAGAGGTTTGCTACCTAGATTTCTGCAAAGATTTCGACTTTGTTAGTCATCAGCTTCTGGATTTAAGAATACAGACACTGAGGATTCTAGGTTAAGACAATTTCTCAAATGTCGCACATTCAGCGTGAGATTTGGGAATTATACAGCCGAACCTGAGGGAATATTGAGTGGGAGCGGTGTTGGATCCCTTATTATTTTTGATCTTCATTGAAGATCTTGCGAAGGATCACCAAAATCCTTGCCACATGTTTGCCAATGATGTGAAGTCAGCTGGGGAAGGATTGGAACAAGATCTAGATGCAGTTCGAAGGTGGTCAAATAAATGAGATCTACCACTAAATCTATGTAAGGGTCAGCCCTTTACCACAAGCGCCAATGATAATACGAGCGGTGTGATGCATTTGCAGCATGTCTCTGAGGCAAAGGATCTAGTGGTAATGATTACAACTAACATCAGACCATCCCTGAATCGCAGCGCGCGGCTAATAAAGTCCGACACGAGCTTTCTGGATTCTATTCGTCGCGCGGTTCAAAATTTGAAGTGGAACGTTTCGCTTTAGAATTAGGTCGACAGTAAGCGGAGGAAGTTCTCGAGAGTCCAATTTCATGGTTGAAAATTAGTGGAGGCGCAATTTATACCGGACCATCCTCGCTGTAGATTGAAAACCTGCATCTGGGAGCCACAACTGCGCGGAACTCGGGTGACGTGATGAATTACCGTCCAGATGAGCTGAAAGTACTACCCAGATTCACTTATCCTTAGGTTTTATCGCTTTTATGTGGGGTTTTTACCTTTGCACACATTCCTTTTATCGGACATAGTCTCGAAGCGTATCTAGATATGCGCCTTGATAGCTCAGAGAAATTCTCCTAAAGTGGTGACAAGAACCAAACATTTCATTACACCCTACCCGTATGCCAGTAAAGGGTTTCTCTCGAGATTGTTGAGGGCATACGTTGTGATCTGTGCCAGGATTGGTTCCACCAACAGTGCAACAAACTAACGCCCAAGGCAGTTGAACTCTATGTTGTCCACAAGTTTCTGAAATGGGTTTGTCCTAACTGCACTAGATATATCGGAATATCCATGGCAAGAATACTGCCGCTGAAAGAGGACTCTCTTTCACAGCTGGCAGCACCAGCACCTCCGTGTAACTCGACCCAAGGTATTCAGATGAACAGAATTTATCCCGAGCTAGGGATTCCAATGCCTTGGACTGGGAACCAATTTATAACCAAATCCCCAATGACGGGGAATGGATATTAGTGGGCAAGCCTGAGTGTGGTGACCATTCAACCACGTCAGTGGCACGCCTATGCATAGGCGTAAAGTATAAACCTAAGGCACGTATTGTCAAACCGGCAACCGCAGGACTTGGTTCAGTTCAGTTCAGTTTGCACAGGACGGAATTGGTCGAGGACAATCTTGCGTCCAGATCTTTGTGCTGTCAGCTAGTTTCTCTGGCTTCCAACACTGCTCGTCAAATATTTCTTCTGCTTGTTTCTGAAAGGCAGAATTTTTAGGTGCAATAACTCATCTACCAGATATGCAAAAATTAAATACATCAATATAGGAACGAACTCATCTTGTTCCTTTATTGCCCCTCAAGTGGCCAGCTCCGGGAAAACCACATCCCAGCACAGATCCAAGGCCTTTTTAAAGGCCACAACTGTTGAACAGNCTGGCCCTCAACTCCAACCTGAAGTGCTCTCTTTTCAGCTTAAAGCTATGACCTCTAGTGCCGCACTCTTATGCAGGAACGAATAGGCTGCTTAGTTGTATGCCCGACAACTTCTTAGCATACCGGCAGCCGGAAAATAGTAGGACTATCCAGTATCACCCGCCAACAGGGAAAGGGGCATTTGATGCGCTCATGGACACTCAAGAGGAGGCCACTGCGAATCTATCCGAACTAACAACCAGCCTAAGAGACTCCCTGCATAGGCCGGAGGTTCACACTAACACAGCCCTGGGAAGAAACCGAAATGTCTTAATCAGAGACATCCCAGAGCCGTTTTGTCGAAAAAAAGGCGCAGCTGCAGACGAGCGCTTCTACACCAAGTAATAAAATAATCCGGCTCTCCTGGATCTCCTCAAAGGTGCAGACCAAGCGACTTCTGCGACTAGGGAAGTGGTAGGGCGATCAATGAGCGCTTAACGCATTACCACCCAGGCCGACCCTTGTCCAGCTTCATAACCCAAGGCACAGAGACTTGATGCTGGCAGGTTCCGCCAATGTGAGGAATTTGACCAAAGACCAGGTGGCCATAGAACCGGACTACCCTCTAGACCACAACACAACGACTTCACCTAGAAGCAGGCAGGAATTTAGCACCAAGCTTCTGTTCGTTCGCGTAGCTAGAGTGGGGCACGAGAATCTGGGTAGGAAAACAACCCCAGCACCCGGGTCTGATCCCAGAGATGAATCTCTAGGGCACAAAGACCACAATATGGCGGAGGACCCACAGGGAAACTTCACCACTAGACCCGAGTTAAAAAACTCGGAGGTCACCCGAGAGCAACTTCCGGGTGCAACCCCTTGAAAGCAATAAGAGGTCAAAGGGCGCAGGCTCTCGGTGTTTACTACACCAACGCCGGCAGCCTAATGAACAAGTAGGCCGAGCTCCGAGCTGAAGCTAACCAAACGCACTGCCTCGCCATAACGGAGAATTGGNCTCTACCGCTGTGGCGGGTTACTTTCCTCAGCCGGCCTTGAATACCCTGTGCACGTAGAACATTCAGGCTGCCGGGCGAGTAATGAAGCTCACAGGAGAAAGATTAGCAGTCCTGTGTGTTTATCGTAGCCCAAGCGCAGGCATCAAATGGGCTGATGATAGATTTTCTCCGGCACACAACAACTCGCGCAAGTAGGGTTCTTTTCCTGGGGGATTTCAATGCACCTGAGGTCGAATGGGAAAAAGAGTATGCGCCAGTGGGCAGCTTTGGGGATGAGCTACTAGAGGTGATGCACAAATTGGCGCTCACCCAGTAAGTCACCAATCCCACCCGATGGCGACTGAGTTACTCTCCTAGCACCTTAGATCTTGTGTTTAATAAAAGCAGGAATGACATCGGGAACATTGCTATAGGTGCACCGTTAGGCAGAAGTGACCACGCTAGTATCCGGTGCCAGTATGGCTGTTCTCTTCCCCCCGCCGATGTTACGGATGCATGAATACAGAATGTCTCCTAGCTGCCGCTAAGACCATGGTCGGATCAGAGGCAAACTATGGGGTTGTAGATTCGTGGGACTTGATCAGCGATAACCTGCTGACTCTCACCAATAGATTTGCAGCTCCGTATCTCGTTAGGCCAAGGATTATCCCACCTTGGTGGTTCAGCCGAATGAAAAAAACCCTGATTAGAAAGCGAGCTACGTGGCAGCTAGTCTGTGCCACAGGTGGTTATCTAAGGCACCTACAACACTTGCAGCAGCGGAAGTCTTTCGACCGCATCTTCCTGGATGCCAAAAGATCTTTTGAGGTTTCTCTGGCCAAGAAGACAAAGATCTGTCCCAATACCCACCACGGGTACGTCCAATTTAATTCGACTATAAGGAAAGCAGTGGGCTGTATCAGGCAGAAGGGCGACACACCTGCCATGACAAACTCCCAAAAGGCCGTCGCCTTTTGCGAGCAATTCCAGAGTGTACATGCGAAGGTTGAGGGCGTCCTACGACCCATTCACCAACCAGCAGGATCCATGCTGATGGAGGAAATCATTTTCCTTCCGTTGAAGGTGGGAAAGACCCTGGGCAGTTTGGATAGGGGCAAAGTGGCGGGTCCGGATGAAATCCACCCGGCACTGCTTAGATCTCTAGGAAGTATCCTGGCAGCCCCCTTAGCTCGCCTCTTCAATCATTCCATGGCGACAGCCACCTTGCCACAGGACTGGAAAGTAGCTACGAAGAGGGCGACAGGGAGCTGGCCACCAAAAATAGACCCATCAGCTTACTGTCTCTGATCCTGAAGGTCATGGAAAGATTAATCAGGGATAGGATGACCAGCTACCTCACCCAATGCGGCCTTCTGGCTGAAGCTCAGCCCGGGTTCCGTAAAGGCCGATCTTGCCTTACCAATCTGCTAGCCTTCCTGGACGTTGTGACTTAAAGGCTGGACAGAGGGATGGTAGTAGAAGTCTGCTATCTAGACTTCAGTAAGGCCTTTGACTTCGTCAATCATCGACTGCTGCTAGGCAAGCTAGAATTGATGGGGATCCACCCTAGTTTAGTCAGGTGGACTGAGAGCTACCTGACAGGAAGAACCTTTCGCGTTAGGGTGGAGGGGGATTGGTCGGACTGCGGGCATGCATACAAAGACGTCCCACAAGGCTCGGTCCTTGGATCATTGCTGTTTCCTGTCTTTCTCAATAATTTAGTCTCCGTCTATCAAACCCGACGTTCATCTTTGCGGATGGCCTCAAGCTCCTTGTCTCGCACCAAGGTGTAAACTTCTAGCTTCATCTAGATGCAGTACAAGCATGATCTGTAGGGTGGGATCTTCCTTCAAATGCAGCGAAGTGTAAGTTCCTGCAAGCCGGGAGTGCTCAGGGGCTGGACCACGCTATGTGGAAACTCGATACGGGGAGGCTATGGCAGTATTGCCAGAGATCAAGGAACTGCGGGTCACCCTAAACTCCGCTCTTTACTCCCCTGCTCAGTGTCTCGCGGCAAGTACGACCGATTGAGAATTGTTCAGGTTAAGGCGCACAATGAGGTCCAGGGACTCTGTCGTATTAGCCTCGCTCTACCTGGCCTTCGTTCGGCCACACCTAGAGTACTGTGTACAAGCTTCAGATCTGAAGAAGGACCAAAAGGTTCTGGCGAAAGTGCCGAGGAGGTTCACGCGCATGTTCCGCACCTTCGTGGCGCGACATATGCCAAAAGCCTTCAGGGGCTGAAACTGTGCTCACTTGAACTGCCTCAGGAGGAAGTGACGTCAGAAACCATTGCCGAGTTCAAACTGAAGCTGGACACATCCTGAGCATAAACGTTTCCCGATTGTGTCTGACACCCGGCCTAAGGTCAATAATAGCTCGTCCGTCTCCGCCTCCCTCTTTATATTAAGCTCTAATATCTTAAGATACCTCAACTTGATTTCTCCAACTCCCTTAACTCCATTTTCATTCACTGTTAACCACACATTTTACTGAAACTTGTCAACATCTAGTATCACCACTTTAAAATCATATTTCTTCTCCACAACACATCTCTTAATCTGGGTAGCTTGGAGCGGTAGGTTGAGAGATGTCGCTTTGATCCTGACAGAAACCTCAGACATGTACCGCTGTTGTGGAAAAGTTACTACATATACGAATAATAATGAAATAAACGGTACGTGGAACGGACTCACAGAAGGATTGTCCGGTTGGTTGATTGGTCCTGTTCTTCGGATATGTGGCTCCGGTTGGTAGTGTGTAGTATTGCTCAAATGAATGGCTGCGACAGTTAACGGACTGCGAAATGATAACTGATAATGTACGCGTAATGCTTCAGCAACACTCAGAAAAACACGTGCGTAGTTACAAACAGAATTTATATTGTTTTGTTACTTGTTGTGTATATTAAAACAAGCTGTACAATCATGTCAGATAAAGTGGATAGAAAAGTAAGACACTATAGTACCCCCTTCTAGAGTAAATGTGCAAACGGAATACTCGAAAAAGGCAAGGGAAAAAGCGAATCGTTAAATAAAATGAGCAGGAAAGTGTACTTTTCTTCCGAGACGTGTTGTTCGTGGAATGGTTGGAGGTGTAAATGCGCGTGTAGAAGGTGGGATAGTTGGAGAAGTGTGTGTTTTGTCTGTTTAGTGATTTGGTGTGGGTGATATAACGGGAATCACTGATGAAGGAACAACATGGGGAGAATTTGTGGTGGGTAAATCTAATGATGTATTGATATATGCGGGTTTTAAACGATCGATACTTACCGAGTCTTGCTTTCCCTTGGGATCCAAAACAAAAATTTCATCGGAACGAGAAATTACTCTGTATGGTGCGGTGTATGGTGCTTGGAGTGGTCGATGTGTAGCGTCACAACGAATGAAAACGTAGTTACATGTGTGCAAATCATCAGGTACTAATGCAGTCCACTCGTGTTGGCGTGTTGGAGTTGGTTTGGTATGTACCGTATGGTCTCGCAATCGTTCGGCAAACGTCGATGGAGAAACAGGGGTTGACAGTGGGGTTTGGAACAAATCACCTAGTAGACGAAGGGTAGTGCCGTAAACCAAATCTGCCGCCATCCATCTGAGGTCTTCTTTGATGACAGATAGAAAGCTTAGTAGGGTGCGTGGAAGACATTCGGTCCAGCGAGGATCTTTGTGAGCTCGAAGTGAGGCTTTGAGGTGTCGGTGAATAAAAATCCAACCAAATTATTGCTGCGAGGTGGAAAGGAATGGTACAAATGTGTTTGCAACCAAGCAGCCGCGTGAAATCACGAAAAAGTGCGGATTGTAATTGAGTGCCCCTGTCAGTGGTTACAGTGTGAGGAACACCGTAATGGGAAATCCAATGCGACAGGAAACGTTGTGCGACGGACTCAGAGGAAATGTCTGCCAGGAAAACTGCCACCGGCCATCGTGTGAAACGGTTAACACATTAACGGATATGTCTTACCATTGGAAGTGGGAAGTGGGCCAACAAGATAAATTTGAACCTGAGAAAATAATGTTTGGGACGGGGAAATGATCTGGGGAAGAAACAGTGTGGCGGGAAATCTTATTTCGTTGGCACTGTACACAAGATTTTGCCCAATGTCGGACGCCTTTGTTCATATTGGGCCAAACGTAAAAATCAGCAATCAGGCGTAACGCAGAACGAACTCTAGGGTGCGCAAATGAATTAAAACGCGTAAAAATGGGTTGACACCCTAAACGAGAGATCTTCTGTGAATAAAAATCCAAGGGCTGCTGGACATTTGCAACCATCTGATGAAATGCCGCTTCAACGGCAGAATTCGACGCGCCGGTGTGCAGCACCAGTCGAGTGGATGAATATGAGGTGAGGTGAAACAACATGGTGGCGTCCTGGAGGGCAAATTTGGCGCTTTCAAATGCTTTAATTATTTCAGGAGTTTAGATAACGTTTTTTGAGTTACCGCGGAGTAAATGAGTGAGAGGTTGACGTATAGTAGAACAATTGGGGATAAAACGACGATAGTATTTAATCAAACCCAAAACATTTCACTTGTTTGACAGAAGTTGGATGGGGGAGGTCCTGAATGGTTTGAAACTTAGAAGACAGTGGGAGAATGCCTCGGGAATTAATCAGGTGGCCTAGAAATTCTAATAATAATAATAATAATAATAATAATAAGGATGAGACACCGAAAATACAATTTGATGAGTTTATTGTGAGACCATAATGTTTAAGACATGAAAGGCGAATGCGTAAGTGGTAGCTGCGATCTTATGGGGAAGTGCTATTTGTTAAAATGTCATCCAAGTAAACGAAAACAAAGTCAAGACCTCGAGTTACTTGGTCTATAAAACGTTGGAAAGTTTGTGCTGCGTTACGTAAATCAAAAGGCATTCGTGAAAATTCGAACATACCAAATGAGGTTGTGACTGTTGTTTTGGGTATGTCTCATTTAACCAATAGGATGTGATGATATGCACGCACAAGGTCGATTTTGGAAAAAATTTCTTTGAGTGGAGAGTGAATGCGAAGTCATGAATGTGTGGAATGGGGTATCCATGGGGTGTGGTGGAATTGTTAAGTGCTCTGTAGTTACCACAAGGAAGCCAATCTCCAGGGGTTTTCTTGGGTACCAAATGCAGTGGGGAAGACAAAGGGGAGTTGGATGGATGAATGATACCAAGCTGGAGCATGTGGCCGAACTCTGCGCAAACCATGGCCAATTTCTCGGGTGTGAGTCGGCGATGTCTGGCGGTGACGGGTTGACCTTTGATGATGAGGCTGTGGGTCACCTCGTGTGCAACACTTGAAGGTTCGTAGGAGGGCTGTATCAACTCTGGAAATTCACGAAGAATATTGGAGAAAACAGATGACTCGGGTTCGGGTAGAAGGAGTCTCATGGAACAAATACGTGTTGCACGAGGACTGACATAATGAGGTGGAGGTATTGAGTAGTTTTGCTGCTTGACATCAACAACAACCAAAAGCAGACAAAAGAGTACAACGGGTCGAAAGGTGGAAAACATCACCCCTGAAAGTACCGCAGCATCCGCTAGATTCATACTGGTGGAGTTTGCCAGAACGCTAGATAGGGATATGCTACTATCCCGGGTATACTTAGTTTGGATTGACACTAAAGAGCGTTATAAAATAGTCTCTGATGAACCCCGAGTCAGGGAAATAAATAGAAGACCGTCAACTTACATGACGAGTAGTTTTGTTGCTTGACATCAACAACAGCCGAAAGCAGACAAAAGATCAACACCAATGATGGCAGTGTGGACATCAGCAATGGTGAAAATTCACCTGAATGGTTGTCTCGAACCAAGATCAACGGTGATGGAGCGACGGCCTTAGGTGTGAATACGACTACCTTTGGCTGCTTGTAGGTGACAGCGGTTGGTTGAAGTTAGCAACAATGTGCCGTACGGGAAATCACGCTCAGTTCAGCACCGGTGTCGATCAAAAATCCGATAGCAGTGCTTTGATCTTAGATGAATAATAGACGACTTGGGAGGATGCCGGAAACAACCACCGTCATTAATGTCCGGTTTTGGGTTTTCCCTGTGAGATGAACGAACGGAGCAGGATGCATTTCTTGGCTCTGGGGCCAAATTGTTGGTGGTATCAGCAATGTTGGGGGTTGGAGCTGATTAGCAGGTGGTTTCTGCGGGTTTGCGAAGTCGAGCGTTTTCGACTTCGGCTGCGGCTGACTGACCTTGACCTTGTGCGGTACGTTCGAAAGTTGATCCCACCTTGCTGTCCAGTTTTTCGCTAACCAACAACCCTCACTATTTCAATTCGTCTTTGTGTAATTAAGAAAATCTACTATTTTACTGAATTTTTAATTATGTTATCGTCCCAGCAGTTACCTCTCTCACTAGACGAAGATTCTTCTCAGTGCGTCAAGACGAGGCTACCCTCCGCTCCAAGAACTCTCCAACTGAACTGTTAGGATATATTCATGCGGGAAAAACGACCTTAAAGCTAGGCTGAATATATTTGGTGATCAGCTTGCCAGCCTACAAGCTGTGATCCTAACATCTGTCCTAACAACTTGCGCTGCGAAAATGGCTCTTCAGCTTTCGCAGCAGGAAATATTGGATGCAGCAAAGAAATTAAAGGACAGCAAACAATTTGACAACCGAGTTATCTTTTGGAGGCGGTTTTCCGTCTGACACCTTAGAAAGTATATGAAGACATATATTCAGCCTTCTAGAATTACGCAAATACAAACCTCTTAGCTTTATTTGGCAAACCACCAAAGGGTCGCGGAGACGCCTGGGATTTCTTGCTGACTTAGGGTCTTTCAAGCTCGCCAACGACATTCTCAACCAAGCACTCACCCTCAAACGCTCCTGGTTAGGTTTGAGTGGTGTCTTCATAGAGAACCATATGCATGTGAGACTCTCGCAGCCCAAGGCAAAAGGTGCCAAAGTTGACCATAGAGACATCGAACTATTGAGAAGCGCTTTTATCTCAGCATTTCGCTTAGACCTGACCTCTGGTGATTTGGCACCAGGTTCAAATTTTTGAGTGATCGTTCTGATAATTCTTTTTTTTGAATCTAAAAGTGGTTTATTCCGAAATAACCCACCGCTTTATTTGCTACTAATCCATTTTCTGACACCCTGTATTATTTTTCTGGCCGTGGCTCCTAGTGTCCCAACGGTCAAAATTTAGTGCGTAGTACTGTTGCGTACTTTACTGTATTTCCCATTTAGTGCCTTTTTGTATTTTTCATATACCATCGCTACACCACAACTTACTCTTAAAATGATAGCAGCAAATAGCGACACTGTCTCAATTCTGGATGTTTCTCCGAACGAGGAAACTTTACCTGTGC